CCTATGCCGTCTCCCAAATTCCCCTTCTTTTAACTTCGTTTCAGTTGCAAGAGACAGGAGAATCATGCACTCCTGTAGTGTTTATCATGGGTATGATGTTTTTAAAAAAAGAAAAATAGTGAGGAGGAAGACAAATTGAATTAAGAAGCAAGCTCTTGTGGTTTGGGCATGGGACAGAGTCAGCAGATGGAGAATCTATTTGTGGTGTTCTTGTAAACTTCCCGCATACAACTGGCCAACATAGTTACCATAACACTGCCCTGAAGTATAAGGGAATTGATATTTGCTCACCTTCCAGGCCTGAGGAAGGCTTAATGCATTACAGGCAGCTGCCCTAAAAGCAGCAGAGTATTGTATTGTGACAGATGAAGCTGTTGATGCCTTTGGATTCTCAGCAATTTGTTTTTTTCCACAGACTCTATCTGCTTGTTATAACCCCTTGGGGGCAGAGGCAAGCCTTTTCATTAGGTGGCTGTACAGCGTCTGGCACTGCCTGACCCTTGATCAGGCCCTGCAGCCATACAAGTTACAAGCAATAAGAGACTGTGTGCACTTAAGGGCGGCCACAGCCCTCCCGGGTCATTGCCTCCCCCTACCCCAGCTGCATCAGACCTAGCTGGTTCCAAATGTCAGGTGCAGCAACCCAGCACTTGCCCCCACCACCAGGCATGGAGACGGGTGGGGAGGCAAGCAGTGCTGGTTGCAGGGTCAGTGCCTGTCTTTGATCAGGCCCTGCAGCCATTCCAGTTATAAACAGTAAGAGACTTCATCCACTCAAGGGCTGTCACATACCTTCCTGGCCTCATCACCTCTGCCTACCCCAGCGGCATCAGGGCCGGATGGTTCTAAAGTCCAGCCCTAGTCGGGGGGACAGTTGAGGGGGAGGGAGCTGTGCTAGGTACAGGCTTGGTGCCTGGCCCTGACCAGGCCTTGTTGTGCAGGTACTAGTTCACAAGAGCCTGCAGGTGCTTCAGAGCTGCCACCTCCACCCCCCAGTCCTAGCCATGGAGGGGGAGGGGAGGCTGTGCTGGGTGCCCGATCCTGCAGCCATTCAGGGCTGGGGCACTTCAGGTGCAGGCGCCCCGCCATCCTCAGCCCTGGCCATGGGGATGGGTGAAGGCTGTGCTGGGTGCAGGCTTCCTCTTGCACAAGTGGCCGCTCATTGAAGACACTCCCCAAAGCCCACTCATCAGTCTCCTCCTCCCCGCCTTCCTTCTTCTCCTCCTTCCTCTTCCCCTTCCTACTTGCAAACACAAGGCGTTTCTTTGTACTCCCTTTTGGGGGGGGGGGGAACGAAAAAAAAAAGCCGGCGCCCCCCCCCCAGCCCCAAAACCCCCCAACTCCC